AAAAATAAAAAAAAATAAAGTTGACAAAATCTTAACACTTTCAAAGTTACTTAAAAAATAGAAGCATTGAAAAAAAAAAAAAGTGTTCCTCTTGTGAAATGTATGTTTAAGGGTAACTAAAATGATCCCACGTAAAAAAGTATGAAAATATTTTTTTACATGGTTTAACCCCATACTTTCAGCCCCAGAAAGTGTATGAAAGGTGGACGATAGCGGAAAAATGTTTCAATAAAAAAAGTTCGCCTTTCAGTGAAGAACGTTTTCCATCGAGTGAAAGTGGTGAACCGCTGTTATTAACGAACTAAGTTTCTACCCTTAAGTTGTAGAATTAATTAGAGTTTTAAGGAGTGGTTTTAAAAAAAGAGACCCCTATGCCACTGTTAATACTAACAACTGGGTCTACAAGTTGGCACTGTCGCAGTAGCTGAATTCACACAACTACCCCGTTCGGACTTAACTCCCCTGACCCCCCTTCACCCACCTCTGCCGCCCTCTCCCCCCCCAGTAACCCATTTCCCTATGATGTATTTCAGCGGATTTTCTTCTCACCCCATTTTCAACCCCATTTTGCATCCCTCGCATATTTCATCATTTACAGCTAATGTTACCTCCGCAAATGTTGCGGTATTACCACTTCTAACACCACTTTACCTACCCCGTTTACTTCTTCTTTTTTTTTTGCACTATTTTTTTTCTTGTGAATTGTTTTTTTTTTTTGGTCCTGTCTTCTTCTTCCACTAGTTGCGTCTCTTTCTCCGATAGATGCAGGATTTCTCTTTGACGACGAGCAACCTCGTCTTTTAAAATGGTCCTACACTTTCGCACTTGGGCAAGCTCTGTGCTCACGTTACCGCGAGCATCGCGCTTCCTCTCCCAAGCTGACGTCAGTGCCTCCATCTTTTCTCGTACATGATGAGCACTTACCATGACGCCTTCTAAACGCTCCATCTCCTGTGAAAGCGTCATGTGGGTGTCAGGCAGAGGTGATACAGGTGATATACGTACACTCGTACACCACAGAGGCATCGTCACATCTGTGGCAGATGTACCTTTTCCCATCAACTGGTCCCCTTGTGCCAATATTGGAACCGTCGTCGTCGGTGGAGGCAGCGTTTCTGCTGGGGTCACCGTGCTTATGGTGGGCCTCGTCCCCGAACCGCTCCACGTCGGAGGCAACCGATAACTTCGCCATTGTGGTGACGACTCCAACTATTTCAAACTTCAAAACGAAATATAATTGTTTTAAAATAATTTTAGTAAATATTTCATTCTACTTACAGCACCCGCCCTGAACTTCCCGAAACGGGACTTCGGCACTGCCGACTTCCTTAAATTTTTCCCAACCATTCTTTTTAAATATCCTACCGTCCACTTCGCACAACGTTCTAAAACAGAATGAGAAAATGCTCTCCACTTACCAACTGCTCCCCTCTTACCCCGCACCCTCCTACTAAACAAGTTTTTCGCCTCTCAATCACCATCGGAANATATAACTTAGAGGATTTTTAGGAATGATCAATTTTGAGAGAAAGTTTTGCGAGAATTTCTCGGATATGACGTTACCGTTATTAAAATTATTAAAAAAGGGGAATAAATGACAGTGGGGAAAAGAGCAAGAGAAAGGGTTGAATGCAGTGAAAGATAAATTTTTGTCGGTCACTATGATGGTTCTTCCGGATTTTACCGAGGCTTTTTATACACAATCAGATAGTTCAGGTTACGGGATAGGCGCTTGTTTATTCCAGGTAAGTAGACAAACGGGAGAAAGGGGAGTGATTGCGTACACGAGCAGGGTCCTAAGAGGCGCAGAATTAAATTACACCGTCACTGAGAAAAAGGCGTTAGCCTTTGTTTTTGCATTAAAACAGTGGAGATCTTTAGTACTGGGACAGGGATTAGCGATTTTAACTATCCTTTCTGATGAAATGTAGGTTGAGTTCGTCTCGGTTATCGGGTTGGGTCTAATACATACAGGAATTTAATTTTACCATAAGATATTGTAGGGAAAAAGGAAATTGTATTGCCGATAGTTTGTCTATGGGTCCATTACCGGATATGGAAGTAATAGGGATAAGTATGCTAAAATGTGCCAGGTGGTTCAAATTGGTAAAAGAGCAGTTGAAAGAGATCAATCTCAGGATGAGTGGATAGGGGCGATAAAGGATAAAATAAATGGGGATAATGAGGGAATAAGGGAGAAAGTAGAGCGCTATCAAATGTACAAGCATATTCTATTTAAGAATGGTAATGAATTTTGTGCTGGTCCAAAAC